GTGATCAGTGATTTTCAACCTTTTTTTTTTTTTATTGTTTATTTCACAGCATACTTGAACCTATCGTTAAGCTTCCGTGGCAAACTTAAATTATGATGATCAAAAAAGAGTATCCTTTTTATGATTTATTTATTAACACAAACAAAATAATTTGTTAGAATTTGTAATAAAAAGATAATTAAAATTCTTAAAATAACTTATCATAATTTAACATTTAATGAATTCTATGAGCTTTTTTAGGATATATAAATGATAAATAATTTTTTTTTCATTCCACATACACTGCCAAGCACAAATCCGCACGCAAGTGGTAAAATCCCAACAGGACACTTATTATCATTTACTAGAATGACCGGTGAAAGTTTCAGGGCCTTCCTGTTTGAAATTACTGAAATTATTAAAGTTAATTATTTAAAAAGCTCATGGCAAATTCCATGACAATAAAATATCCATAAAAAAATTCCCCTATCGCATCGTTAAATATTTGAGCTTAACAACTTTAACAAAATATTGCAATTTTTTTTTAATGATTTTTATTAATTCCATTATCGTGATCAGTGATTTTCAACCTTTTTTTTTATTGTTTATTTTACAGCACACTTGAACCTATCGTTAAGCTTCCGCGGCACACTTAAATTACAATGATCAAAAAAGAGTATCCTCTTTTTATGATTTATTTATTAACACAAACAAAATAATTTATTATAAATTGTAATAAAAAGATAATAAAATTCTTAAAATAACTTACATTTATTTATTTTCTGATTATCATAATTTAACTTTTAATGAGTTCTAGGAGCTTGACGTTTTTTTTTTTTTAGAATATATGAATGATAAATAAATCTGTACTGGACGAAGCAGTATTCGACGAAACAGAGTCGACTTTTTTGTGTTTCTTAAAAAACTTGTCTATTTTAACTGAACGTTCTGTAATAAAAATACGTCCATTACAAACTGCACGTCCTCACTTCCACGGACACTATTCAATACGTGAATAACGAGGGATTGCGGAGGCATTCCTGAAATCAACTTCGAATATCTTCGACATAAATCGGTGTCCATCGGTCATTCCTTGTCAAACTGCCCCCTCTATGGACAAAATCGCGCAACCTCATTTCACACACTCCACCCACTTTATACGTTTTTTTTTCTTTTTAATCAGTATCAACCCATGCAAGGCAGTAAAGTCACTAAGACGCAAGAAGTTACAAAGTGCAAAAGAATTAGGAACAGAAACATTAATAATGAGAGAAAAGAGTAATCACGAGGACAGTAGATAACGATTGACATTGCATTTAAATTTTTGCAGGTTAAATTCTGGCACAAGGCCACAAAGACAGAGTACTTAGTTAAGACCAAACTCAATATAATTGTAATAATTTCCTTTTCTTTTTTAATCAGTATCACTCCATGCAAGGCAGGAGAACCACGAAGACACAAGGATTACAGGTTATTGAAGAATTAGGATCAGAAACATTGATCGTGAGCGGTAAGAGGAAAGAGTAACCAGGAGAACAGAAGATATCAATTGACATTGTATTTAAATCTTTGCAGATTGGCTGGAAATCATGGAGCCTGATGGGGAAGTGAGCGAAAAGAAACTGTTAGCATAGAACTTACGGTACATAACGGAAGAGATTGTTTATAGAAGAAATATATTGAGAAGAAATAAACGATTAGAATATAACCTACTTTTACCTGTTTTAACAACAAAGCGGGATAGATAGAGGGCAGGAGGAACAGCAGTAGAAAAAGCATAATATACTTAATGGCCATGAGTAAATAGATGACTGAAGAGAGACGAGGAGAAATAATAAAAAGACAAAGTTTATTAAGAGCTTTTTTTTTTTTTAAATAAATATCACCGCAAACAATGCAGTACAGGCACTAAGACACAAGGAGTTATAAGGTGTGGGGGATCTAGGAATAGAAACATTAGTAATGTGTAGAAAGAGAAAAGAGTAATCAGGAGGACAGTAGATAGCGATTGAAATTGCGTTTAATTTTTTAAAGATTAAAGTTGGTTGGAAATCCTGTAGTCGGAAGGGAGTTCCACAAGCGAGAAGTGCGAGAAAAGAGACTGTGAGCATAAAACTTACGGATACATCCAGCCTGCTCAACTGTAAATTGATGAGATCTCGACGCCAGTCTAGTACTGCGCTTAAATTCAAAATGTCTAGGTACCATAGCGAAGAGCTCATCCGAACAATTGCCATGAAAGTATTTATAGAAAAGACACAGAGAGGCAGCCTTACGGCGGTGAGAAAGTGACTGAAGCCGAGTCGCCAGATCAGGACCAATAATATTGCTGATTCTTCTTATCAAAGAGCTCACGGTAAATAGAGATGAGGACAATAGTCCGAATAATGTAAAAAAAGTCTTCTTCAAACCGTGGAATCACGTTACAGAAGCACAAGAGAAACTATGCCAGATAACAGAAACCACATCACTGGCGAACTTTTAACAGCAGTAACAATTAAAATGGATCTGACATATAACTCAAAGAGAAAATAATGATATAATGAAGATGTTTTCTTTCTCCACGTCTTCAAACATAAGGTTAAGTAGGAAACCCTTCTCACTCCTAGAAGGAGCAATAACAACTACAGGACTTGAGAAACCTGTTTTGTTGAAATTGTTTTAAGAGAAAGGTTTTATAAATTTCAACTGGGAGTAGTGCCGGTTACTCAATCAATGCCAAATGTTTTCCTCAAAGAAATAGCTAATATTACCAATACCCGGATGAATAGCAACATTTAAATGATTCATTGCAGAGATTAACATTTATAGTACTTATACCAATATTCCACAAGCGGAATAATTCTGAGGAGTCTGGTTTCAAGAGTTTCGGACAAGAACTCATATAATCGTACCTTAATTCAGTGTTCAATTTAACGATCTGAATCATTAAAATTTTCAGCAATCGTTTTAGGTTTAAAAAAAAAAAAAAAAAAAAAATGGAAAAATATTTTATTCACACTTTGAAAAAGCTCATTTTCAATAATACGGCTTATCCCCCCGCCCGCAAAAAAAAACTCTTGCTTTGTAAAACGGTCTCCTACGTGAGTGCTTCCTCTAATGCTATAACCATAACCTCTTCAAGTCAAGAGTCAATCATTACCTATCTTGTATATCCACATAATCATCTCTTCTTACTCTTGCATTCGTATCATACAGGAGCTGTCTACAGGGACTTTATTTCGAACACACTTCCGGACCTGCTAGAGGATGTACCCCTGCTAATACGAAGATGCATGTGGTTCATGTATGATGGGCTCCACCACATTTTAGTTTCAGTGTTCGCGATGCTCTGGCTGACATGTGTGAAAAATGTATAGATAGGTGAGGGCTGGTTCCATAGCCTGTACGCTCCCCCGACCTCAATCCTTTGGATTTTTATCTGTGGGGCCACCTAAAACAATTGGTTTATGCAGCAGACATTAATAATACAGAGACTGTTCATCGACACACGGACCTGCGAAACCATTCGACACTGTGTGGGGGTATTTGAAAAGCTGCGCCAGTCAATGATCCGAGGGGTGCATGTGTGTGTATAGAAGCGGACTTTTTGAACATTTGTTATTTGTTTTGAAGAACAACGATGGCCTTTCGGGCAGAAGGTACAATGTTCATATAAACATGATTTGGTGTCAGGAACCTACCCCTCAAAAGTTGTAAATCTATTTTTGGATTGTAGATTTAACAGTGTCTACCGTAAATTTCAAACTTAATGACAATACCAAGGATTAGCGGAGATATGTTTATACGTATTTCGTCCTTGTTTTGGCGTGAAGAACCCACCCTCAAAGTTTGTAAAAGTATTTTAGATACGCCACTATCCCGGCTTGAAGCAACCGGATGCCTAGCCGCACTGTCATCCACATACAGGCCTGTTTTGCTGTATCACAGCTTATCAGTGCGGCTAGACATCTGATTGGTTCAAGCCGGGATATCCTGACGATTACGTTAAGCATGAAACAGACTGTCGCCTACGGGTGTTGACTTCACTGTCCATTTTAACATACGCTCTATCACTGATATTGAACAATTTAACCTTATGGGTTATATAGCATGCCTTAAAACTATATTTTATCATATATATATATAAGCTAAAGAACAAATAGGAAACGTTTATCAATCTAACAAGTTTCGCTTTTATTAAAACTTCATCAGAGAATGAAATATGAATAACCCTCCATATCTCATTCTCTGATGAAGCTTAAATAAAAGTGAAACTTGTTAGATTGATGAAAGTTTCCTATTTGTTCTTTATTTTATCATTCTGTTGGATCGGCATATTCGTTTTGGCTTCAATAGTGGAGGGTGTGTCAATTTACAATGAATTTATATTGAAAACTAGACCCAACTATTAATTATTATAAAATTTAATGAAAAAAAGTTTTATATCTGATCTGGAGCGGTAAATCTATTCATTTCTTGTAGAATTGTACAAAAGAACCCGCGACAAGACTCAAAGTAAGCGCCTGGGAGAATTCCTTAATTTTCAAAGTGTTAAAATAGCCTGTCCAGTTTATTTAAGAGGTAAGTATACAGGCGCATGCACTAACACCAGATATACGCATAAAACTAGATTAATTTGTTTTTTTTTACGTCTTGTCAACCCTTTGCAAGTTACTTAAAGCCAGAAAATGTTTCTAGAGTGTAAGAATTTCTTTTACTAATGTAGATCCTACTACTTTAGGCACCTAGGCGTGGTGTAATTGCTAGCAAGTTTGTTTCGCTAGAAGAATTATGAGTAGTGAATTCGATCCTCACTGGATGCCTATACTTTCGGCCTTGTGCCACATCAAAGTTACGCATATAAAATAACTATAAATCCTACTCTTTGACCCACAGCTGGAGGGGAAAAGAGGTGAATTGCTACATTTCTCAAGGTTATTTGCGCGTAAGTGAATAGAACGAACCCAGCTGGAATTGGAACTCGGCTCTCCAATTTCCAATTCCGAGCTGCTATACATTACACCAACAGTACATTCAAGCTTACAGCACCTGAAAATCCAAAACAGTTACCTATCTAGGTACAGACCAGGTTCAATGTTGCTTAACTTCGATGATCGTATGAGAGCTGGTGTTTCAACATGATACGGTCGTAAGCCGCGTAAGACTGAAGGTGCATGTCGTCTTAGATAATCCTTCAGAAGACACCAGAGACCTCAGAAATGTTAGAAAGTACGTCGCTAAATATATTGTGGAAAAGACAAAAAGGGGATGAAGAAATGTAGCTTGAACCAAAGATTGGGATACCATGGCACGAGCTAACATTGAGCACGTTAGTCTGGTTAACGGGTTCAAGCCTTACTGGGCAATTTATAGCCTTCTGAAATGTTCACAGAAAAGAGACAAGATAAAACATGTATAGGAATGAGAAGTGTATGTCTCAACGGATCAAATAAAAGGCTTTTGTCAGGTATTCCCAGAAGTTTAAAACATACATTTGAGCCAGGTTCAGTGAAGGAAAGATTGAGATCTAGTTGAAAAAGGGAAATCAATATTGGTTTGAAATCTAAGTTCGGATATTTCATAGTTAATATGGGATTTTATGTTTGCTGTTATTATTATTATTTAATGACATGCTTTTAGGCAGAAGGGGAAAAATTAAAAATCTACTTTATAAACGAGCACCAAGTTGATATGTGGTAAAGAGATATACGGAGAGGAAGCTTCTTAAGCAGTATAAATAGTAGTAGGTCACCAATTAACCATCACCATTGTCAAAGGAATCACTAAAATAAATAATAAAAAGGTAAAAAAACAAAAACAAAAACAAAAAAAAAACCACAAATAACCCCCACCACCAAAAAAAAAAAAAAAAAAAATCCTTTTCTTTTTTGTTTGAATTACAAAATAAACATTGTCTATGACTGAGAAAAGTAATTAAAATTGTTAACTTTTAGATATTTAAATCGTTTTTGCTAATCAAATTTGAGTCGATCCATTCTAAAACGATCTTCAGATATAGAAGATCTATATATATATATAAAGAAAGAACAGTAAGATATAAAATCTGGTGTTCTTATAGATATTTTTATTTTTACAAAATAGTGCTCAATGTAAATTTACAGAGCATTAATATTATAAATTAATTGATTTAAAATATGTTTTTTTTTCGCTACACAGTTCCAACCATGTTTCAAAAATAGAAGCTAAAAACCCGAATTTAATTTTGTAATTAAATTAAAAGTATTAGTTCCATTTCATCTTCAAGCGAATTTTGGAGTAACTTTTAAAAATTACCGGGTTTTAAAGACACAGCTAAAATCACGTTTCCATGGTTACAGAATATTCTACTTAAATTGAACAAGGGATGTCTAGATTTTCCTTATGTCAGTATCATTGTATCAGTTATTAGCTACAAGAATCGCCTTAATTAATGGGTTGTTGTGGTCAGAAGAAAAAGAAATGGGTACGACCGCTCTCTCTCCCCTTAAGAAATATATACCTGAAGAAGTCTATAGAATAGGTCAGCTGAATGTCGTAATACGATAAATATATTCTCTCACTAATACACACTTTCATATACAAGTTATTTTCTACTTATCATAAAAGTTATTATACCTATTTAAGAAATAAATGAGGAGAAAAGTAAGAAAAACAAACAACAACAACCTGCACATAGAAAATTAGATTCATAGGCTAAGACACGAGAAAAAAAAAATAGTGTTATACTCAATTTCATGGCGTTTTAATTCTAGATTCGATACATCCGTTTATTAAGTGTTTTATTATTAAAATTAACTGAGAAGAAAAGATTTTGGGAATTTATGATAATCAACCTGGGTTTTTTGTAATCCAAACAAGAATAGTCTCATTACAAGAATGGAAAAATACAACAGAAACACATTGATAGTCAAATTGGTAAATCAACGGTTAAGAATTAAATAAGGTAACAATTTCTCCAGATTTTACGATTAAAGCAGTCGTCCCATATATATATATATATATATATATATATATATAGAGAGAGAATACAATATGGGTTTTATTCATTGCACCCACAGAAACGGTTTATGACGTATGCCCAAATTTATAATAGAAAGGACGAGATTATTTTCGTATTTTTAAATACAAAAATAAATTACCTTTGAGATTTTATCTCAAAGGTAATGTAATTTTTCGTTTTTAATTTGCAGCACCCATGTGCTTAAAAATGTTTCACATTTAGCAACAGAATTTAAAATCATATCTGTAGTATAATTTAGAAAAAATTTGTTCTCCTTTATTTCATATACGATAACTTTTTAAAAAGGATTCCTTACTAAACGAAGAAAGGAAGAAGATGAAAAGAAAATTGGAGAAATAAAAACGAAACACTTCAAATGGAGTTCTTATCCCATAAGATTAAATATATCAAGTATTTTTCCCGAGTGATACAAGTATCACAGAAGGAATTAAAGTATGCACAACAATTTGGATTGAGAAAGTATGGATTCCATTAAAAGGAAAGACGCCTGCATCAACTTCCATATTAGGAATTACAATTTTAATCAGTCTGAAATTCTGGAATCAGAAGTTATTATTTATATGCGGAATATTTTCCTTATCTTTGTTATCACAACATTTCGGCTAAATTGCCCCCAGGCCTTCATCAGGTGATTGTCGATCCGGGGTCCTGATGAAGGCTGACGGGCACAACGGCCGAAACGTTGTGATAAGAACAAAAGGAGGAAAATAGCCCGCATGTAAATAATATAATTCCCAGCAAAAAACTTCGTAAAAGAACCAAAAATAACAAGCTTATTTTCGATTTAAAACTGTGATCAAGGCCAGCCACAGGACTTGCGGGACACGATTGAAAACGGTTTTAAGCCCCTCCCCCAAAATTACATCCACAGTTTGTAGAACTTAAGAACGACAACAAAAGTTTATTATATATCTTATATTTCTATAATAAAATGAAAAGCAATCGAAATTTGTGTTTAAAAACATTTAATTCAAGAACAGTTAGTTTTTGTTTAAGCGTGGACATAGGAATCAACGCTGCATAGTAACTATCAATTTCACACCTCAATACAATCTTCAGAGTAAGTGTGAGGTTTCCTATGCTCTCTCTCATATATATATATATATATATATATAATAAATAAATAAAGGTATGATCAAAAAGTATCGGGACTAGAGCTATAATACGAAAACAGTACATCAATTCGGCATTTAATCTCCTTCGAAGTAGTCCCCGCACTTTTTCCAGCGTCGTTTCCATTGATAGACACATTCCTGGAACTCCTTTTTAGAGATATCGAGCAGCTAACTCGCCATACCCTTTTGGATTTCCTAGAGGTCTTGAAATCTTGTTCCTTTCAAGTATGATTTGATCTTTGAAGAGGAAAATATTGCAAGGGGCAAGATCTGGACAATATAGTGGTTGTCAGACGTAGGGAATATTTGGTCTTCGCCAAAAACTGCTGCACAAACCATAGTCACTGGTGGAACATCTGTGGTGTGATGTGGTGAGACGACCACACTCTACACACTTTCCTTCCATCCAGCGATATAAGCAACAGAAGTGAGCAAGAACGACAGAGATCAAGGTCAATCTGTGCCAAGCGGTTTCACTTCACGTACTTTAACTCCGTTACCATAGCAACAGTCTGGATACTTTTTGATTAGACTGTGTATATATAGATATATAAAAATGGTTGTAAAGACATCAAACTAATGTAACAGTCCCTAGTCATTCCAGCTATTAATTCAATCGAAAACTTGTAATCCATCATTAAAAAAAGATGCATAATATTTTGATATTAAAATAAAATCTTTAGGAAGCAATAACAACTGTTGTAAGTTATGACGAAGTTGAAAAATTTGATAAAAATCAGTGATGGAAGACTTATGATAGTTATAGAATGTCAATGAGATTATATCGACATGTGAACCATACAATCGTAGTTCCTGAATACCATACCACGGGTTGACCCAAGCCTTGTGAGTGAAATTGAGTAGACGGAACTTCTAACATGAAGTCACAAGTTATCTTGACCGAGGTGTTTGAGCGTACTGGCAGTGTGAAAAAAAAAATCTGTTGATCGCGCCAGATTCTTCCAGAAACTGGAACTAAGGTCCGCTAGGCACAGTTACAGTATAAACCACAGGTGGGCTCTGTAAGTTGTGAATAAAGACATATGTGCCTGAGCATTCGTCTACAGAGAAGGCTCGCTGCTTCAGCAGACGCCTGTATTATTCGGAAACAAGTAGCCAGCCGTTATATAAGTTTTTGTGTGACCAGTTTCATTCTTTAGGACTTCATGGGACTAAAGTGATGTTTACGTTGATGCACATGCCTATGAAGGAGAGGAGTCACTGAAAATTTTAAAAAAAATATATGTGTTTTACGTATACAGTCTTTCTTTTTTTGTTCATGCTTCCATCACTTTTGCTATTGAATATCTCATATTGTGATCTGTCAAGAAAGGTGAAATGCAAGAACTGTGTCAATTTTAACGATTAAGCACTTTCTATACAGTTTTGTCTTAATAGTCGCATCAACTTAATCATTTTAGTTCGATGAAATACAAAAGGACGAAACCCATTATACGAAAACTTTTTCCGCCTTGTCCGCTTTTTTTAAAATGTGATATTCAGCCTGTACAGGGCCTAAGAGCCACTCGTGGTAGAGGGTTACAGACTAAGAGGCGCAGTTTTTGGGGATACATGGAAAAGATAACCTGTTCAAGTCTCGGGTTAACGGTTAAGAGTGTAGCGATCTGGAAAGCATCCTCTTGGGAGTCGGTTCCACAAAACAGCTCAAGTGCAACACGCATCTCAGCAATGAAATACGAGGAGAATGATGGTGGTTTCAATATAATATGTATGCTATGGCAGGTCTTAGTAAAATTTAGAACTGGGGGAACTAAGGATAGTTGACCGTCTGAACACTGTATGAAAATAGAGGTAGAGCAGCGAGAGGCGTGCGACCTTTAGTATATGGGGAAAGTGGTTGTAGGATGTAAAATAATTCCACGATGTAAGTCCCACTCGAACAGCTGCTTTTCATGAACCGCCATTTTGAGGAACCGATTCTCAAGACGATGCTTCCCCAGTCACTACAATCTTAACCTAGTCAAGTCTAGGGTTAACTGTTATATTCTCGATACAG